ACTATATTAATATTAGGAACTCATGTACCCTTCACATTCTGGAACCAAGGTAGTATAAATCAAGTTACCCTTGGGTTTTCTTTGAGTTTTTTCATTCTTTTCTCTGACTGTTCTTCAAGCATACTAGTATTGAGAGATTTATCTTCAAACTCACTCATTCAAACCTACTCCATTGCCCTTTAAATGTGCTCTCCATTTCTGAGATCTGTGTATTAATCTTCTGGATTTTTAATAGCAGATTTTGTATGTACTGTTTCAAACTTTGTATTTATTCTGTTTATTCTTGTAGTGTTTTCCTGAATTCTTTGGAAGTTTTTTGGTGTGTTCTCTTTACTTTCCTTCATCTATCAATCCTTTGAAGATGCTCAAATATCATTCTTTTGATATAGTTCCATTACCTGTTCTTCCTCAGAAGATGGCGCTGCATTTTGGTCCTTTGTTTGAGCCATTTTCTCTTGTTTCTTTGTGTGAACTCAGTGTCTATTGTCTCCTGGGCATTGTGAAGCTGTCTTATTTATATTCAATTGGTGATTGTATGTTGATGTGTTCTTAGGCTCTCCCCAACTGGCTCCTGCAGTTGTAATTAGAGAATGAAAGTATGTACACCTTTGTCACGTGCACACCTCAGTTTAGGGTGGGTTTGGCTCATGTTAGCAGCTGTCTATCATTGATCAGGTGGCATAAGAGCTGGTACTGGCTCTTGCCCAGTGGGTAGAACTACAGAGGGTATGGCTATAGCTCAGCTGTGTGGGCACAGTTGCTATCTCCGGTTGGATGTAAAAGATAAAACCTCTCTTTCTGTCACACACATACATACACAAAAACAAGCAAGCAACCAACAATGAAGAAAAAATAAAGAGGAAAAAGAAACAAAACAGGCAACAACAACAAAAAAGAATATAAAGACAAAAGAGAGACAGGAAAATGGAGGTACAGAAGAGAAAAATGAAAGAGGAAATAAATGGGGGTGGGTGGTTTTAGAAAGTCCAGGGACAGGGAAAATGAAAAGACAAAGGGAGTAGAGAGTAGTAAAGAAAGATCAAAAGGGGGGGGGGGGATGAGGGGTGAGGAACAGAAGAAAAGAAGGAAGGAAAACTACAGCAGAAACAAGACAAAAAAAAGCAATGTTAACAGTTGAACTGGAGAGGAGAAAAACTCTTGGGGGTTCTGCAAGCCAAGGAGCTCATGATGTGAAGTCTGGGCAGGATGTGACAGCTGAGTTCCTGGTCCTAAATGGAATTCCTCCTATCTGCCTTGGTGTTATATATGTTTAGGGTTCTCAATCTGCAAAGTACTTTGTGGAAGTCCTTGATGGAGCTGGTTTCAGTGTTTGTTAGGACCACAGGAAAGCAGGGGGCTAGATGAATGGTTAAATGGTAGTCTGGTGGCTCAGCAAGTTCTGTAGGTCTGCAGCTGAGCCCTCTTGAATTCCAGGTACCAAATCATCTCAATGAAGTGGCAGAGCCAGTCTCACATTGGCATGGCTCCTGACCACAGGGCTCTGAATTCCAGGAGAGCAGGGTCTGTACTGGGGGAGGATGAGCATGGGAGCTGGCCACACCTCTGGTCACCAGGGAAACATGGGGGAAAAGAAGGAATTGAACCTTTCCCATTGTGTGTGTGAACCTGCTCTGCCAGGCCACTTTAACTGTCACCACAGCTGCTCACAAGATGTTCATGCTGAGTCTGGCCCACTTTCACCACCCCTGCTTAACTTCTCCCAGCAAGCACTCTGTTCACTTCTCTAACCTTCCTCCTGAAATTCAAGGTTCCAGGATTTTCATCTATGTCTTCTGCATTTGGTCTCTCCTACCTTTGTGGTAGAAGGTCTGTGTAGTGAGTCTGCCTAGTCTGTCATCTTGCCAGCAGTCCTCTACTTACATATATTTTTGGTTTCCTTATTTAAAGATTTTATTTATGAGATTTATCAAACCTCCCAAAAGTATCTTTTTGGAAGAGAGTTCTCTAAGGCTTACACCAGCAAAACTTATGTGGCATAAACAAATCTAGACTAATTCAGAAAAAAATCTGCAGCAGAAGAAAAGGATACATTATATAACAGTGATTGAGTTACAAAATCGTTATTAAATTTACTATAGGTCCTAACAGGAACATTGTTGAAGTTGTTTTTAAGTGCCATCAAGTCAATTCCGACTCATAGTGATCTTGCATAGGGTTTCCAAGGAGCAGGTGGTGGGTTTGAACAGCCAACCTTGTTAACTGCAGTCTAGTACTGATCCTACAAAGAGCTCTGATAGCACAGTGGTTACGAATCGGGCTGCGAACCTCAAGGTCAGCAGTTCGAAACTACCAGCGGTTCCACGGGAGAAAGATGAGGCTTTCTGCTCCCGTAAAGATTTACAGCCTCGGACAACGTGCGCAGGGTCACTATGAGTTGGAACCTACTCCACAGTACTTAACAACAACAACAATTAATCCTACACCACCACACCAGAAGTCCTGCAGCAACACAGGTTATATAAAACTATAAAACTACAAAAATTATGAAAGCCTCAGTTTTCCAACTAAACATACATTAACATCATTTTTCTGAACTAATAATAACCAAAATCCCAAACCCATTACCACCATGTGTGACAAGGTCCGACTCATAAAGGCCTGTCTACAGTTCTAAGGCTGTAAATCTTTATGGAAGCATAAAGCTGGTGCATCTGAATTGCTGACCCTGTGGTTAGAAATCCAATGCTAAACGGACAGCACCACCAGGGGTTTAGGGGAATAACCAACAATTTAAAATCACCTACTACTGACCATGTTCAAAGTTTCTGCTTACATGAATTCCATATTCATGTCAACCACAGAAAATAATAAGTACTTTACCATGGTTAGTTACCCAGTTAATGCACGGTCTGGCTCCAGAGTCCCACTATTCAGCCTCTCAGTGAACATGATCTGTGTTACTCCAACCAATTTGAAGGACACTGGACCAATAAACAACATTCTTATCAACAGAGAAAAGACTGAAGTTGTCAAGGACTTCATTCTTCTTGGATCAACTATCAACACGCGCGGAAGCAGCAGTCAAGAGATCAGACGACATATTGCATTGGGCAAATCTGCTGCACAGGAATTTTTAAAAGTATTGAAGAGCAGAGACGTCAGCTTGAGGACTAAGGTGCACCTGACCCAGGCCATGGTGTTTTCAATAGCCTCATATGGATGCGAAAGCTGGACAGTGAATAAGGAAGATCGTAGAAGAATTGATGCCTTTGAGTTGTGGTGTTGGAGGAGAATACTGAAAGTGCCATGGACTGCCAAAAGAACCAATAGACCTGTTTTGGAAGAAGTGCAGCCAGAGTGCTCCTTGGAGGCCAGGATGGCTAAGCTTCGTCTCTCATACTTTGGATATATTGTCCAGAGGAAACAGTCGCTGGAGAAGGATGTCATGCTGGGTAAGGAGGAGGGTCAGAGAAAAAGAGGAAGACCTCTAACCAGATGGATCAGCCAGGTGGCATCATTGATGGACTCAAGTGTGGCAGCGGTAGTGAGGTTGGCCCAGGATCGGACATTGTTTCGTTCTGCTGTGCATGGGGCCGCTATGAGTCGGTTCCGACTCAATGGCACCTGACAACAACAACCACATGATTTTGTCATAAATTTACAATAAAGATTGTTGGTTCTCAGTCAGAGCTTTCCACATTTCAAATTTATGGAGATAGTGCTGCTGATCTTAATCAAATAGTGGGTTCTCATTATTAGTATCAACAGTAAGACTTAACAGCTACCACTTAAGTTAGGCACTAACTACTGAAGTGGTATTATTGCATTATATTGTTAAATGCTTTTAATTTTTAAAAAGT